TAAATAATAATCAGATGTTTTGATGAGTACCTCTTGTAGCATGAAGTATAAATATTCTATCCTAGTATATTGTATTGGAATGATTTGTTAATACGCCTGCATTTCCACTAGATTGACCTTATAAGGGCAATAGGAATCAAGTATGTAGATTTGTTTCTGTAGTAAGCTGGCAATATAGCAAGTACTGAAAAAATATATAAACGATGGTGAGAACTCATGGTTCCCTGTCTATTCTTTCACTGGAAGATCATTCAGGCTTATAATAGCCTGGAAGTTTCCTCTGTGTCTTTCTTCCTTTGACATGTTGAGTCACAAAGTGTTAGAAATTAGAAACATAGACACAAATCAATTTTTGTGAATGGGTGAGTGGACACATTGCTACAATATGAATATAAGTACATATGAGGCAAAGGGAGATTTATTGCTTCTTTTCCAGAAAACCGATAAGATTTCAGTATTTGTTTGAGTAATAGATAGAAGAAGTCTCAGTGAATACGGGGGGAAATGGGCTTGATGAGTAATGAAGACCAGGCAGCAAAGGGCATCGTCTTTGGACACACTCAAGGAGTGGTCAAAGGCACTGTGATCAGGGACGAAGGCCATTTAACTGATTATGTTAAAGAAAAGCAGAAGAGTTCTGTGGTAGGAAGTAGTTAAATGCACCATCTGTTTAGGTCTCTAGTAGACTTTAAAATTCTTTGAGCATATGTGTTTTAACCATTTTGAGATTTAAATGGTAAAAACAGCTTTCCATACTATGCCATATTCACACTAGGCCATATTCATATTTGTTATATTTCTGGCTATTTTTAGGATTTTAAAGTATTTCTATATTGTGATGTTTCTTTTTAGAACCTTGAAAATGGATAGTTTTCATATGATTCTACATGACATAGTGAAGACAGCAATAGTACAGTTTTTTTTCTGTAAGTTCTATAATAGGAAGCCATGTATTGTAAATCTGTCACTTCCTGAAAAGTCATTCCAGAGAAAACAGTATTTTCAGCTGAGTGAACTTTACTTTCACATTATTTGTTATACTTTCTATACACTGTTGGCTTAAAATGTTCTTTTGACTTAATATTTTATGAGATTTCCTTTACATGATTACTTTTACTTAACCACTCATATTCTTAGGTTGAATAGCTAATAATGAAATTATTTCTAGGGTTTCATATAAATATAATCAATTTCAAAACTGAAAATGGTTTCTAAAAGATCAATCCTAAAATAAGCAAATGATATGAAAAATCAGTTAAACCACCAGATCACACAACAAACAAAAAGGTTTATAAACCTGTGAGGCTCCTTTTCACTCATAAGAAGAATGAACCCATAATACATCTTTTCTTTCACCCATCAGTTTGCTAAGGATGAGACAGTTTGATAAATCACAGTTTTTATGAGTATAGGGAAATAGCTAGTCTAAGGAAATGGCTACTTTCATATATGTTACCGGGAGTGTGTCAAAATAAATATGCACTTGTCCCTGGATGCAGTGAATCCAGCTCTAAGAATTTACCTCCAGAGATATAAGTGCACATGTTTACAAAGTATACTTTGGTATTCAACATTTATTGCATCCCCTCTAAATACATATTCATAGACTCTTTTTTTAAAAAAATGTGTCTTTATTGATTTCAGAGAGAGGAAAGGAGGGGAGAGAGAGAGATAGAAACATCAATGATGAGAGAGTCATTGATCAAGCCCGCAACTGGGCATGTGCCCTGACCGGGAATCGAACCCGGATCCCTTGGATCCTAGGTTGACGCTCAACTGCTGAGCCATGCCTGGCCGGGCCATATTCATAGACTCTTGAGTAAACCAGCATTTTCGCATGTATGTGTAAAATGAAAAAGTATAAAATAAATTTTTATTAAATAGGTGTCTATGTACAAATGTATACATACATACAGAAAATTCTACACTGACAGGATACCAGAGATCTGGAATGGAAGGGCACTTTCTTTTCATTGTATTTTTATCATTCAGTTTGAATTTAATGCCGATCATGTACATGTCTTCCTTTGTAAAAAAATCAGCTGTAATAACGTTTTTGAGATGTAATTTACACGCTATAAAATTTACCAGTTTGAAGTATCCGTTCCATGGGTTTTTAATAAATTTACAGAGTTTTGCGCTTATCCATACAACCTAATTTTAGAAGCTTTCCATTGGCTCCAGAAGAAACTTTGTACCATTCATTAGTAAACAAATCCTATCACCCCTTACCCCCCTAGCTCTAGACATTCATTATTCTACTTTCTGTAAATAGATATGTGTATTCTGGAATTTCATATGAATGGTATCGCACAGCATGTGGTCATTTATAACTGGCTTCTTTCATTTAAATAATGTTCTTGAGGTTCATCTATATTGTAGCAGGCCTTACATAACTTTTGATTTTAAAAAATGTTAAAAAATTAAAGTGAAAATAGCAATTTCAAAATTACTTAAATATATCATACAGTGGTTGTGAAGTAGAAGGGAAGCACAGAGAAATTATTTTGTGTTAATAGCTTTCAGTTATTGAGCATTTATGATGTACTAGTCACTCTATTAGGCTTTACAATATGTTATCTCATTTAATAGTTACAATATATGTAATAGATGGTATTCTGTTATTTCCACAAATGCATAAATTGATATTAGTGTTAATTTTAGGTGTTAATTTAGACATAAAAGTGTAAAGAATAAAAATAGATGTATGCAGATTTATACTTTACAGCCAAAGTGTGAATATTTTAAGTGCTATAACATTACCAGAATGTACAGTGAACATATAATTCACTAGCCAGACAGATCTAATGGAACTTTTTGCAATTATGGATATGTTCTGTGCCTGTTCTATACATTATAGGATCTACTACCACATGTGGCTATTGATTACATGAAATGTGACTAGTGTGAATGAGAAACTGAATTTTAATATTATTTAATTTAAATCAATTTAAATTTAAATAACCACACTCTGTTTCTGCCTATGAACTAATAACAGTTCCAGGATATTCAAGGTAATCCTTGCAAGTGAAACAATTCAAATGTCAGCAAAACATTTTTTACAGTGGACATTAGACACTGAAGGGCAGAGATCTCTGGGAGATGGGAAACAAATAAAATAAGCCTTGTGATCACACTAGCCATGCCTTGAGAGAGTTTCCAGGCATGGATTAAAGAGAAGGCATTCAGACAAAATCTAGAGGACTTTCTGAGTTGAGGAAACAGAGTGGAGAGTGAGAGAAGACCATGCTAGATAGAGTTTACAGAACAAAAGACTAGAGAGGAAAGTATTCAGCTGATTACTGATTAGGGCAGGTAAGTGAGGAAAATGCCACAGTACAGGAAAGAATAACCTGAAAGCATTGTAGGTCCTTAGCTAAGTTCTTGGTACTCAAATAGCAGCAGGAATAGTGTCTGTTCCTACTAGCCAGACTGGAAAATCTCAAAGTCTGTGTGGCATTGAGTAAATTATACATAATCTCAGTAATGGGGACAGTAGAGTAATACTTCCTCCTAAAATATCTTAAAAGCAAATCCTTAAAGGATTAAACTTTTCAATAACTTAACTGTGTCCCAGAATAAAGCTAAGGAATATTTATGGGAACACAAAAATATTCAGCAGCCACCAAGGTAAAATTCAGAATGTTCTCTTATCCAATCAAAATTACCAGGCATGCAATAAGAAACAAGAAAAATTGACCCATAATGAGTAGATAAATCAGTCAATTAATACCAAATCAGAGTTAGCAGGCAAGAACATTAAAAAAGCATTACTATAACTGAATTCCATGGTTACAAAAAGTTAGACATAGAATATAGGGGGAAAAAATGCAAATCAAACTTCTAGAGGTGATAATTACAATGTGTAAGATGGAAAACTCACTGGATGCATTAATGGCATATTCTATATTGCAGAAGACAGTATTAGTAAACTTGAAGACAATAGTATACTGGGTTCTTGATTCTTTCCATATAGAGCTTAGTATGTTGTGTTTAGTATGATGTGTTTGAGGGGAACTTTAATCCGGATTTACTATGTTCTAATGCCTGCTTTTAGAGAAATTTTTAATAGCTATTTTATATCCCACAAAAGACGATTATATGCTTTAGGAACTTTTCTTACTGATTAGAATTGATTGACAACTGGACTGTGTTTTATATTTTTTAAAAATATAGTCATCTTAATATAATAGTTAATAAATATTATGATTTGCTGATTTCATTGTAAAAGCCATTGTCTTTTTTTTAACTTGCTTATTCAGACATTTAAAAAAATTTTCAATTATAGTTGACATACAATATTATATTAGTTTCAGGTGTACAACATACTGATTAGACATTTATATAACATAGAAAGTGATAGTTATTACAATATTATTGACTGTATTCCCTAAGCTGTACTTTATAGCTCCATGACTATTTTTATAGCTGCCAATTTATGACTCTTAATCCCTTCACCTCTTTCACCCAGCCCTCCAACCCCCGTATTTGGCAACATCAATTTGTTCTCTGTATCTAGGAGTTTGTTTGTTTTGTTCATTTATTGTGATTTTTAGATTCCACATATAAGTGAAATCATATGGTATTTGTCTTTCTCTGTCTGACTTGTTTCACTTAGCATAATACCCTCTAGGTCCATCCATGCTGTTGCAGGTAGCAAGGTTTCATTATTTTTTTATGGCATTCCTAGAGATAATTTAAAAAATAAACTGTTCTTTTTTGAACTCTGTAAACCTTCTACTCAAGCTATATACATATATACATGTTGTAATTATATGTACTTATTGTGTAATGTATATAACTGTATGTGCGTGTATACAGACTTATTGCTTTAATACGGTTTATTTGAAAGACAGAGGATGAAAGTTGTATGAGTACATTTGCACATCTTTAAATTGTTTCAGGTAGAAGATTTAATAGTAGGTACTTTGCTTTTATAAGACTCCCCGGTGACAATGTCAGTGTTCTTTTGCAAGTAATGTATTTTCTCCTTGTTATAGGTCCTTTTGTTCTGCATCACAGCTGCCATGTACATGTTCTTTTTCAGGTATGTTCTGTTATACCTATTTTTCTAAATAGAAAAAATAGTGTTCCTCTGTAATTTTTCATCAACCATGTAACTAAAGTGTTTCCCAAATAATTATCCCCCATGAGTGGCATGAGTTTTGTTTTGTTTTGTTTCTAGAGTGGATAGAGATAATTCACTGCTCCCTAGTAAACAGAGAAAGAGAGGGAATGGAGATTTGTTTTTTCACATTCTACTTATGGAATGTGAGAGCTGTAAATTAATAGCCCTCAAATTCTCATATGTGTTTTTTGTGGGCCTGACCTAATTTCAGATATTCTTATAAGACAGTTAACATTTTAAATTTAAAGGAGAAAAAGTGATGGTAGGATTTAATCTAAGTCTTCTGTGAAGGTAACCTAGCACATTAATCATAGTCTTTAAAATGTTAAATTACTCCATGATGTCAGAGTTGTCTTTTTTATTGACACTGAGACCCTGAGGAATATGGGGGAGTGTTAGGATGGCACAAGGTTTTAGTGCCAATAAAAAGGATGTCTGTCGTTATGTAACCATAGCAGTATGAGAATAGGAATTTTGTTTAGGAAGAGTCCACTTCTTCCTAGTCTTCCTCTTCAGTAATACCAGTTAAAATTCTCATTTACTTTACTCTTATTGAACTCATTTGTATAGACTCTTTCTTGATACTTCTGGATATAGCAGAATTTAATCACAGCAGGAAGGGGACCAGGCTTTTAAAACTAAAATTTGTATGTAATTGACAAAGGTAGTTATGGATTCTAATAAGGTATATTCGATAGATATCTTTTTTAACCTAAACGAGATAATTCAACCACACCAGAATTTTTGACCAACTAATTTCCTGCCAAAACATCCTAAATAAATATTTGATAAACACAATGTTATAATTTTAACTTATTTTGACTTTATAAAAATGTTATATGCAAATATAAAATGATTTGTTGCTGTTATTATTTTTGTAAAGGGACAGCCAGGCTCTTAGAAGGAGAAAAAAATAAAGTTTCAACTTGATCTGCAAATGATTGGTAATGGGATATATAGTATTTTGTGGTAGCTATTAGTGACTGAAATATCATTGCAGCTACCTAGTGGTCTTGGTGAAATTGTTTGACCTACCATTTTAATATAGCTTCATACATTCTGTACAATTTCTTTGGTCTCATATTTTAGTAATTTAAGGGTGAGATAAAGGAGTTAAGGACAATTACTATTTCATTTTTATCAATTTCCCAAAACTTCATAATTGTATAGAGACACATTATTAGGACAATATTGCAAAAAGCTTGTGTGGTTTATCTTTATGTTCCGTCTAGTCTGAAGATAAAGCATACCTAGCAGGGAAAATGTAAAAAAGATTAAAACTTAAAAACATGTCTTTTATTGATATACACAAGAGGAAGTACAATATCAAGCAAGTTTTCTCTTTGTTAAAATTTCTAACAGAACAGGTAATGAAATGAAGCAATCCTGTCTGAAATGGCACCTAAAGACAGCATATTTGATCAACATTTAGCATTTCTTAGTCACCAAAAGTTTTTGAGGTTTAAAAAATAAGTTGTGTGTTGAATGTAGTGATAATGCTCAATTTTTAGCATGGGTCTTTGAAAACTGCTGCCATCAACCTAGTATTTTTGGTGTAGAGAGAAAATCAACCCTATAAATATGTATTTTGGTGCAGAGCTACGGAACCTTTTCCTGTTTCAGTCACAAAGTCTAGGTTAAAAACAACAATTTAAAATACTTTCCAGAAGGCTCAATATAAAGTTTTAGTGCCAAGATAAACATTTTCAGTTTTCTGAGGAAAGGGGTTGTTTTTCTCCTAAAAGAAGCACTATCACCAAATTCCTAGTGTTCTTGGCAGAAGTTAGTTTGAATAACTCAGCAAAAGAGGTTTGGTAAATGGTAAAGGAAAACTATTTATAAAGTACTCAACCAAACAAAACAGTGTTACATGTTTGTTTGAACTCGAGCATGTGTTTGAAATGAAAAAATCAATATTGTATATAGCAGTGAGCAAATCCAATTGCATTAGAATATTTTATGCTTAAGATTTAATTTTATTGTAAATCTAGATATTTGAGGACATATTTATTCCATTTATTAACAATTATTTTAGTTCCAATTACATAAAATTAGATAAGTAAATGTCAGATGATATTGTCCCCAGGACTCCATTTATGGTAATCTCTTTTGAGAAGAGAATAAGGGAAATATTTTATGTTAGAAATGAGCCAGCGTGTGTTTTTATCCTAACCCATAAATGGGGGAAAAAGGGAAATGAGGCCCCCTTTCAATAAAGAGAAAATGTGCCAATTTTTTGTAAAAGAAAAGCTTGAGGAAGTAGTTCCATAAGTATTTATTGTATGAATTTACTTAAGCAATACAATGTTTTTAGTATTGCAATTGTGGTTATTAAAATGTGTAGAGAAAGTGCCATACTTTTGCACAGCTTTTTAGTAGTTTTTTTTACAGGTATAGTTATTTTCACATACATTATCTCATACATGGTGATCTCGATTTTCAATCTGTATACCAGAAAGAAGGCTTACATTCCAGTGGGATCCTGGGAACACTTTAGAGGCCTGGGTTGAATAAAGGTAATTTGTGAAGAGAGAGTTCTAGTTTTGTTCTAGTTCTTAACAAGCTGGCCATCCAGCCATCAGGCTGTCTGTTGGTACCAACACACTACAGTATTTTGGAGATGTTTAGCGAAACAGAAGCTCTCTGTATTATAACTCTAGTGAGCATACTTCTTAATTGCTGTGACTCCTTTGTTCAATCATTTATCACCTTGTATGTTAGTATCATAGCTTCACCGTAGAGCATTGTCTGTCACTCTCAGTTCAGGCCAAGCAGAAGTCATAGTTGAAAACTTGATATTTTGTCTCATGCACCCCTTTAAAACATGTCTTTACTTCCAAATGTGTATTTATGGGTAAAGCAACCTACATTTTCTCAAGCCAAAGAATTCATCATAGTCGTTGATTCAGGCTTCACTAGGATCTTCCCAACAGTCTTGTGGAGAAAAATTAGTTTCTTTTGAACCACTGGCTTTTTTCTGTTTTAATTGAGAGGCAAAGGAAAGACTCAGCAATACCACAGACACCATCCTGAAACTATTATGCTTAATCTTGATCATGAAAAATAATGAAACATGCAATGCTTTTAAACATTAGAAGTTTTATTTTCAACATTAGGTTTCTGTGTCTGGAGAACACTAATATTTTAAAAATGAAATAATTCAGCTTCATTTTTCTTTAAATAATTTAATTTAAAATCAGTGGTATTGTAAAGTATATTATGACAACATTGATCCCATTCTAGTGAGTACCCAACTAGAGATCCCACCTGCCTTTGCAAGAGCAGCAGCAAATGCAACAGTTCGTTTAAACATGTAGAACAAAAGGCTCAGACTTACTGTCATAACACATAATCTACAGACTTTGATTCACACAGACATATCTCAGTCTGATGTAAACATTGATGAAAAGCATTGCATTTTTAGTTAGAAACCAGTGCAAATTAAAGTTTATTTTGTTTTAAACAGACAGAAACAATAGTGATGTGCCTTCCATTTAATAAATTATAGTCAGCTCTCTGGAAAGGCACACATGATAAAGCATTTCATTAGTCTCAAGATAAAGATGTAATGTTTGGATCGTCAAGGGCTGAATGAAAGCAGTAACAGACTTCTTGCGAAAACAAAATACGTATCAATCTTTAATAAAACCTTTTTACTACAAAAAAAAAAAAAAAAGATGTAATGCTTGTATTTAAGAAAACCACACTAGCCCGGCCGGGCGTGGCTTAGTGGTTGAGCGTCGACCTAGGATCCAGGCAATCGGGGTTCGATTCCCAGTCAGGGCACATACCCGGGTTGAGGGCTCGATCCCCGGTCCGGGGCGTGTGGGAGGCAGCCGATCAATGACTCTCTCATCATTGATGTTTCTGTCTCTCTCTCTCTTTCCCTCTCCTTTCCTCTCTGAAGTCACTAAAGATATATTTTAAAAAAAGAAAACCACACTATTTATGGGCTGAAAACCTCCAGGTATTGAGTGAAAAACATTTGTGATTGTCCTAGAATCTTTTTACATAAATTTAATTTAGTATCTTTGAAATAACTTTAAAAGCAAGTCAATAAGAACTTTTGATCTGGATCTTTCAACCATTTTCTGATTTTAGTGAAAGTCTTTTAAATATTAATTAGGTTCTATTTCTTAAAGGATTTCCTAGACATACACAAAAATCTAGTCTAGGAAGTTATATATGGCAGTCAGAGTTTAAAAGTTTTACTTTAGGATTAGGAGAGTTTGCCATAAATAGATTTTTATTTTGAAGAAATTACTTTCAGCAATGTAGAGAGTGAATTGGGGGTTTAGGAGGGGTCATAATGACAGGTACTAGGAGGGTACTGTAGTAGTTATCAAGGATAGAAATGGTGAGGACGTGACTGAGACTTATGGTAGTGACATGGCGAAGAGTACATTTATCTAAGATACGAAGATTGTTGCTTGGATGTGGAAGAGCAAAATACTAGAAGCTGAGCAGGTTAGAAAATGTGTGGAAACTGAGTACAGATTTTGCAAATACTGAGACTGAGGTGCTTTTAGACATTCATATAGAAATATATAGATATCAGTTGGGTATTTGGAGTTTAGGAGATAGAACAGAGGCTTTTCTTGGCTGTTAAATCTCGCTGCTTGACTGTGGACAAATTACATAACTTCTGATATATCAGTTTCCTCATTATTATGTGGACCTAATAAGTGGGCTTGGGGGATTAAATAAGACTCAGTGTCTTTCAGATTTTTTTGGATGTGACATAAAATAAGAATTGTGAACACACAAGCACATTTCCCAGAGTAATACTACATGTAATACATTTGGATATTTTCTATTCTAATTTACTTTATTTATTTAAAAAGCTGCTTTGACCCACTAATGGGTAACATCCAGCAGTGTGAGAAAGCACTGAAGTAATACATGTGAGTGACTGTGAT